TGGATATCCACATACAAAACAGTGAAGGTGTATCCCTTACTCATACCATATGTAAAAATTAATGCAAATTGGATCAAAGACCCAAACTTAAGAGCCAAAACTATAAAATTCTTAGAAGAAAATGTAGGTGCAAGTCTTTATGATTTTTGGATTAGGCAATGATGTTTTCAATATGATACCAAAAGCACAGGCAGCCAAAGAAAAAAATAATAAATTGGACTTAGTCAAGATTAATAACTTTTCTGCTATAAAGGACACTGTCATGAAAGTGAAAAGACAGCCCAGAGAAAAGGAGAAAATAATTGTACATCTTATATCTGATAAGAGGCTTATAGCTAGAATATGTAAAGAACTCTGAAAACTCAAATAAAAAGATAACTAACCCAATTTAAAAATAGGCCAGATCTGAATAGACATTTAGTCAAAGAAAATACAGATGGCCAATAAGTTCATGAAAAGATGCTCAACATTATTAGCCATGCAAATTATACCCACAATGAGATAACCACTTTACACCCACTAGGGTGGCTGTATAAAAAGACAGTAAGAAGTGCTGATGGAGGATATGAAGACATTGGAACCCTGCTGTGAGAATGTAGAATGGTACAACTGCTTTGGAAAACACTAGCACTTACTCAAAAGGCTAACCATATGACTTAGCAGTTCCACTCATAGATAAATGGAATGTGAATGATACCTTTATAAGAATTATTTTTAAAAACTCAAATGTGCAAAGGATTTTAAAGTTTTTCATAAAATTAATTTTTTAAAAACTATGCTTTCCTCTGTGTTAAAAAAATCTTTAAAATGTAAACAGAATGCTAATTTATTTACCAAGGGAAAGTATTTTCTAGTCATAGAATTCTTTGAGAAATGACAGCCTTTCTAGTATCTGGATACCCTAAGGTAACTAGGAAATTTGCAGGAGTAGAGCTAGTCAGATCACAGGGTCTCAGAGTGTGTTGAGTGGGTGTGTATGTGCAGGCCTTGGTGAAGCCTAATAACTCTACCCCATGCAAATTATGTGTGCAGGTGTTGTGTAATAAAGAATTCATACGATCTTTATCCCAGGTTCCTAACTCAGAGCTTCTAAAAACCCTTGGAATTTCCTGGGTGATAAGAGTGTCTTTATTATGCAATGGAATGACTCATAGTAGGCCCCTAGATAGGATAGGTTCCATGGGGGGCTTGTACTCAGAAGGACATGGAGTGATTGGAGCTAATCTGACTCCTAAGAGGAGAGGGCTGGAGATTGAGTTCAATCATGGGGCCAGTGATTTAGGCATACCTACCTAAAGAAACCCATAATAACTCTGGAGCTTAGTGGAGCTTCTAGGTTGGGGAATATATTGATGTGGTGGGTGGGTGATGTGCCCTCATTCTAGGAGGAGAGGGCATAGAAACTGCATTCCCTCCCAAACCCCACACTTTGTATGTCCTCGATAATAAAACTGTAATCGTAAGTATAGTGCTTAGTCATTCTAGCAAACTATCAAGCCTGAGGGATGGTGGGAACCTCCCAGTTTGGTAGCCAGTTGATTAGAAGTTTGGATGGCATCTGAAAGAGCATTGTTGGAGAGGACTGAGCGCTGAACTAGTGGAGTCTGTGCTACTTCAGGTGGTTGGTGCTAGAACTGAATAATCAGACACCTAGTTGAGATTGGAGCAGTGGCTAGACATGACCCATTTTTCTTAACCCTGGATAGATAACATAGGGTAAACCTTGGCCAGATTTCTTGCTGCTTAGGAGTCTGCATGAATCAAACCTCATTTGTTAAAAGCATCTTTGAGAGTAAAATGCAGTTGATTAAACTTTAAGCCTTAAGTTTAGCTTTATAACCAGTCGTCACATCATTCCAAAAATATTTCTAGTTTGTTATTGGCCTCCCTGCCTCCCCCACCAAAGAGTTTTGTTTCTATGTCATCAAGTCTCTCATTTTCCTTTTTATAATGTGAATAATCAGGTAATACTATTACCCTTTTTTTCAGACGGGAATAGGATTTTTGCCCAGTGTCCCAGTAGGAAAATGGTCATGCCAGAATTTGAGCCTAAGTCTGACTCGAGCGTAGCCCATACATATAACCACCCTGCCGAACGGCCTCCAGCTGCATCTATCCTACCACCCGTCCCCTCATCAAAAAAGCAGAAGGAGGGAAAGGATTTAAAAACTAGGTCTTCTCAAGGAATAGAAACGAAGGAGGAGGAGGGAGGGTCAAGGTCAATTCCTCTTTTAGGGATGGACAGAAGTTTTTAGTCATTTGACAGTTCTATTATGTGCCCTTAGATCTCAGTGAAAGTTTAGAAGGACGATTGCATCTCTATACTGTTTGAACAACAATGTAATGATACACAAGTGCGAATTATAGTATTAAACTTTTTGGTGTTTGAGTAAACATCTTTGGTTATGATTCTGTTGATTTCAGACTTTAAAATACTGTTTTTTCTTCAGAATTTTAGTTCATGTTTCTTTAGTTGGTTAATGATGTAAGGAAATTCTTGAAGGATTTTAAGCCAGGGAACATTAGTAATAAAATCAAGATTTAGGCTTTATATATGGTTTCCTGCTTACAGCACAGAAGCGGACATAAGCACACTGAACAGGTTCCAACTGCACTACCCATTACTAACCTAGGATGCCCCAATTTGATCTCTTGTCATTGTGTTAAGCCTATCAGGAAACCGCATCTAAGTATCTAACTGCAGGTTCTCCCCTATATAAGAGCAGCAATGTACCATTTGTTTTTATTTTCTGGTATTTTTTTTTCTTAGCAGGGGAGAGGAGATTAGGTGTTGCTATACTGTGAGTTAATCTTTCATGTATAATTTATAAATGAGATTAATTTTAATTTTTAAATGTTAGGTGTGGGTCTCTTGGCAAAAGGATTTTTTTTTTAATTAATTTGGGAAAACTCACTTCAGTGCTAGAAGTGACTTATTTACTTGTTTGTACACTCCCTACATTCAAAACTGACTTAATGGCCACTAGTATATGGCATCAGATTTGGGACATGCTATTAATTTGTGTTCTATTTTATCAACCTAACTGTAGGAAGTTTAAAATTTTTTCATTGTGTAATGGTTCTTCAGAAGGCATATTTGGATATAGCTTGTTCATATTTGTTATGTTAGTTTTGCTTTGTAACCGTTATAAATTTCATTTATAGTATTTTTCCTGGAAATTTAAAATCAAGTTGTGAAAATGGTATGATAAGTGTATTTTGAGATGACTTAAAAACACTTAAATAAACTCTTAGCACTTCTGTTTCAAAATTCTCTAGTTTAATACCTACAGCATCAGTCAGCAAGCTACTGTGGCCTCAATCTGCCTGTCTTTGTATGAGGTTTTATTGGATCACAGCCCATACTCATTACATTTATGTATTTCTTCACCCTTGTGTGCTGTAGAGGATTTTAGTCATTAGTCCTACAAACATCTAGATCTTAGAAAAATCATTTCTCTTCTATATCTCATTTAACTAGCCTTTGGGCTTCACAAGTGTTTTCATTTCCCTCTGTAGTTAACTGATGGATTCATTGAGGTCTGTCTTCCTTTTCTTTTTCTGCAATAGGATCTCTGTATTTGGTAGGGAAGTGATGCTGTCTGAAGGTGCTCTCCTTTCTTCCTTCTGTCCTCTAGTTCCCTATTTTGGCTTCCTGGTAATTGGGGCAGGGTGGGGACAGGAGTGGGGGGATGCTAGTCTAAATCAAAATGAAATTGCTTTAACTATTTCTCCTTTACTTGAAAAAGGAGGAAAGAGGAGCAGTTTCCTGGCCTGCAGTTAAGTAATAAAAGCTATCTAGCTTTTGGCACAGTCTGTTCTTTGGTCATGGGGTCTTTTTAGAATCAGATTGTTTAAAAAAAAAAAAAAAAAGGATATGTTCCGAAATACATTGCAGAAAACTTCAGAAGTGATGAAGTTAATCTTTGCTAGGGGGTAGGGGCGAGGAGGTTCATAGATTCCAGGTTAAGAACGAACCCCTGTTCTAGCTCCTCTGCTAGGAATAGATTGGGGCGAACAGAATAGGTTATTAAGGTTGAGAAATAAAGCTGATGTCAATTCAACTCTGAGGAATTAAATGTTCTTCACTATTGTCGAACCTGAGGATTTGTTTAATATTCTGTGATCAATTTTTAAACATTTAAGTATAAATGTGTAACTTTATATTTTAATATATAATTTTGATGGTGATCACTTCTGACATTAGAACTTCAAATATATACATTTGAGAAAAATAATTAATTTTAGGTGTTCCCAGAATGAATCACCAGCTTAGGATAGATCTGTTTTAGTGTTTTCAGATTGTGAAGGAAGAAAGATTTCACCCTTGATGTTGAGACTTGGATTTGCCAACTCTTGCTTTGTGCCTAGCAGGAGAATTGTGAAGTTCCATTGGTTAGGGTACTTGTTTCTGCTCTTCATTTTTGCATGAGCCTTCCACTTGGCCAGTGTTTCCTAAACTTAATTCATTGAGTACCATCTTCATGATTTGCCTTTCTGCACATTTCCTGGCTATTCTTTAAATCAACTCACCTTTCTAACACTTAAATTTATGCAAATAATTACTTTTTGTGAAATATGGGTGGATATACTAATTCTTTTCTATTTGCCACTTAAAGGAACATGTACATACTGAGTCTGTCCTACCTAAAATCAGCGTTTACATTTCTAGAGGGCATCAAGTCCATTTTGGGAAGCACTCCCCTATTTGCAGGAATTTTAAAGCTCTGACCTTGAACCAGAGTATGCTCTGTGGAAGCTACTTGGAAGGATTAGAGGAGAAAAGGGGTCACAGGATGAATGGGTGCTGCCTCCTGAAATACCCCTTGCTTGGGCAAATTCACATTTTCCTGAATATGGAAATATTAGGCTGTGTGCATGGCAAAGCTTGGAATCCTGGTCTTGCAGTGATTGGTGGTGGTTGGTTTTTTTTTTAACCTGGACATGCACGCAACGTATGCGTGTATCTCTAAATTTCACAAGTTTTATTTTCTTTACAGGTTTGATCTTGCTCTTCTACCAAGTCTTTTATGGGTTCCTGGCTGCACTCTTCACATTCACAATGTGGGCTATGCTTCAGACTCTGAACGATGAGGTTCCAAAATATCGTGACCAGATTTCTAGTCCAGGTAATTATGTTACACTTATCAAGGCTTTTATATCGTCATCATAAATCTGTTTTACATAGCCGATAAAAGATAAACCTTGGGGTTAGGTAATGTGAGAGTTTTGGTTTTTGTTTGTTATTTAATATTTACATACTGATACAAAGACCTTTAATATTTATATACTGATAAAAAACCTGGCCTGATAAATCTTAAGTCCTTTGCCAGGAGTAAGCAGAAATGAATATTGAGAATTATAGTGAAGCCAAATTTGATTGATATAGATATGAATGGCTTTTGTGAATATGTGTAGCAGTTTAACTTTGTCTTGAATTAATTTACTTATGAAGTATTTCAGTTCTACCTTAGGTTAGAGCCTTGGTCTTGTAAATATACATGCTTCATGGTTTTAATTGCTTAACATAGAAGTGGTAAGAAATATTAAATAATGATACATCAATAGAGAGTAAAATGAGTATACTGTTAATGTGTTTAATTCTGCCTTATTGATAATCTTAAGGAAAAAATTCTCCAGGATATTAGAGAATAGACCGTAGTACAGAAAAAAATTCTTAACTGGAACACTTGTTTAAATCACATTGTCTGCCTCCAAACAGTCTTTGAATTGTTAGCGCTGCCTTCATTATTGGACATGGCCCTTGTTTATCTTCAAGGTGCTGGCAATTTTTATAGAAGATAATTGCCAAAGTTTAGTATATATAATTCCCCAAAATGTGAACAGCTTTTTGAGACAGTAAAGGTGGAAGGCTCTACAGGAGGAGTAGGATTTGGGTAGCAGGAGGGCCAGGGAAGGTGGGAATCTAGCAGGAGGTTTCTCTCTGGAGCAGTGGTTCTTATCCAGAGATGATTTGCCCTCCAGAGGCATTCGGCAATGTCTGGAGACATTTTTGGTTGTCACACTGGAGAGGTACTGCTGTGAGAAGAAGTCAGGCGTGTAGCTAAAGAAATATCCTACAATGCACAGGACAAACCACCACAACAAAGAATTACCCAGTCCAAAATGTCAGTAGTGCCAAAACAGAGGAACCCTGATCTAGATCCTTGTTCGCTGCACGGACTTCTGAGCCATATCAACAGCCAAACTGAACCCATTTCCCCAACCTTTTTTTCTTAGAGCAGTTTGTTCTAATGGCTTTTCCTTTGTTTGCAATTAATATTTGTCTAAACAGCATGAATAATTCTATTAACTCTCAGTTTATTTGACCAGCTGTTATAGACTAGCTCAATGCTAATTATTCCCTCGTCTCTCATCGTAGCTCTGTTCTCTTTCTACCTGGACTAATTCGAAGATAATTATTTTTCTTGCTACTTGAGTTATGTGATTGTATTACCATTGAAGATGATCTGATCTATTTCAGAAATAGTAAACTCTATTTATAATTGCATGAATAATATAAGCAATAAAATATGTTCAGTATATTTAAGTACAGTTTTAAGTTGAGTTCCTTAAAATTATTTACCAATTGTAGTACTTAATGTATCATTAGTATCAATAAATGTATATGTGCATACATTCATATGTATATATAATATTAGATATACATTTGTTACACATGATTTTCTCTTAAAAGGATTGTGGGTAATTTTTTTTCCTACTTGTATTTTCTAAGTTTTTTTGTTTGTTTTTTGTTTTTTACCATGACCATCATTTCAATAATGTGTTAGTACTCGGTAAGATAAATGCTAGTTTGAAATTGGTATATACATTAATATATACATAATACATGCATAATATAAGCACATATTGCCCATCCACAGCCATACACAGACACACACATGTACATACACACACACTCATACCCCAGTGGTATAAATTATAAAGAGATGAGAGTTATTGTAGTCTTCACATTCTGTTCATGTTCTTGGTTTCAGGTAAGCTAAGAACTTTATTTGAAGTCAAAAATACAGCTGTACTGCACACTCCTTAAGTTTTTTACTTAAAAATTTCAAACAGGTTGTTGAATACTAGGAATTGGGACTCCAAGAGCATTCATTGCTAGGCAATCTAAGGAGTAACTGATATCAGAAATTCAGTTTTAAGACAGTTTTTTTTTGTAGATTAAATCATTTAAAAATTCTTTTGGAAAATAGTCATGTAAAGCAATAAAATCTCTTATATATGTATTTCTTTAAAATTTAATTTAGAAATCTGCATGTTTTATTTAGGTTTTTCTTAAAAGTTAGGTGTTTTTATACAGTTTTGTGCAAGCTGCATTGACTTTACTTGAAATATCATATGTCTTGCTGCTGCTGTAAAACCTTAAGAAAAACAAAATCAGACATTACAGATCGTCGTTTCATATATTGAATAATCAGAGGTTTTATTTCTACTGCCTATGTAAGAAATGTCCAAACCCATAGAGAATTTTTATAAGAGTTTATTTGAGCCAAACTGAAGACATTGCTGAGAAGCAAGATCTCAAATGCTCCGCAGAATAAGTGCAGTTTAAGGAGAGAATGTAAGGAAGATTACTTGAAGGGAAGAGAAAGCAAGGGGAGCAGGAATTGAATTACGGGATAATTCATAAGGTGATGTGTTCTGCTGAGGGTGGTTACCTTCCTGGAAGGGTTTGAAAAAGAGTCATTTCAAAGGTTTGGTAACCCAGATGTGCAAAAACAATGGATAAGGCTTTCTTAAGGCAAAAATAACCTTTTACTAGGGAAGTTATAGGCCTAAGATGTGAGTGCCCATCATGACCCGCCTTAGGAATTTATGATCAGGTCACCCAGTGAGATTACTTTCTGTTAAATTTAATACAGCAACCTGTTTTCATTCACACTACATTAAAAAATCAGAAGTTAGAAGTTGTCTATGATCATACTACCCTGAACAAGCCCAATCCCATCTGATCTCGGAAGCTAAGCAGGGTCAGGTCTGGTTAGTACTTGGATGGCAGACCGCCTACAAAGACCAGGTGTTGTAGGCTTACAAAATAAAAAAGTAAGGGATTGTAAGCTGACAAGATCCTTGCAGTCTGTGAGATCAACCAAGGGTTGCCTCGCCTAAAAAAAAAAACATCAACTTACTATCGATTTTATAATGATTTTGCTGTGAGTGGAGTAGTAAGGAAAAATAGGCATATGTAATCACCCATATCCAAGTGATCTGCTCTATTGTTGTGGTAGGTGAATGAGGATTTTATTTGGGAACTATTTTGTGCTGCATGTAGAATAAGATTTGCTTTGCCATTTAGGAACATTGTTTCATCATATTTGGGTAGCAGTGGATCTAGTTTCTCAAGAGCCACACAGATCAACATAGGCAAATATTTAAGGTTTTAAAGAAACTAGATTTGATTTAAGAAGAAATAGATGTCTGTGAGCAGCAATTCTAATGAAAACTAAAACACTACCTGTTTGTGTATTTTCAGATTCAGTGCAAGGGATATTGTCTCTAATAACTGTGATATAGAGAATGTTTAGAGATTAGTGAAATTTTTAGTATTGATTTTATGTCTTTTTGCAAGGCCAACTTAATAATCTAGATCTAATGCTTTTTAAACGGGGGAAGCTTATATTACAGTTAGAAGCCTGATTATGTTTCTTGCAAATAAATATGCTTACATTTTCAGTTAATAAACTCATGCAACATGTTCTATATACATGGGTATTAACTCCTGATATGAAATTGTTGATGGTTTTATACTCCAAATTCAGTATGAGAAAACCACATTTTATAGAGCAGTTTTATTATCGAAGGAAGAATATTTAACCATAATTAAAAATTGTATAAGCCTCTTTCACTGAATAATGTAAGCTTTCTTTATGAATGTTTTCATATAGCTGTAATTTGAATTACAAAGATGCTTTGATTTTGATTTGCTAAAAATATTCTCCATGTATTAATGGCAAATTGGCAAAACCTAAAAATATTTGATAGAAAAATGAATATAAAAAGTACAAAATAAAACTGTCTTTTAAAGTAAGGAACAGAGCAGTTAGATTTAACTAGAGCAAATCAGATTTAGGAAGGTTTCTAATTGGTAATGTCTGAGTTGATTTTGAGGATTTGGAATTGTCTTCATTGTAGGTGTCAACCTTCATAGTCAGAAATGGGAAGTTTCTTGATCATTTCAACCTACCTGTGAACACAGTTTTCCATGTGATTTACTGAAATCGGCCTTTTAAGGATAAGAGTATGGAGAAAGAAGGAGAGAAGGGAATTTGCCGCGGTTAATTTCCTCCTTTTTCTTTTATCTCTTTATAGGACTTACGGTTTTTCCAAAACCAGTGACTGCATTGGAATATTCATTCAGTATATCTAATCCAGAGTCCTATAAAGGGTACATTGAAGACCTTAAGAGGTTTCTAAAGCGTAAGTATGTTTTCTTAGAGTAAGGCAGAAGTTTAGTTACTATAGAAAGTAGTACCAAATTGTACTTACATTTAGGAAAATCATTCTTAGAGTTTATTTTACCTTTTTCCTTTTTTTTTCCTGTTAAATACAGTCAGATGAGAGGACTTGCAAGTCGATTTTATGATTAGTCATGATATTCTGATATTCTGACCTATGGAAAGACAGGGATCTACACCTAATAGGCAGTTGATTTAAATTTTCTATTCTATAATAAGTACATGAGTAAGTTCATTGATATAACACTTATATCTGCATTAAAAGAGAAATTGTTTAATAAACTAAACTGTATTGTATAAAATAATGCCTCTAAATATTTGGATGTTTTGGATCCAGTATTGTGCATGTGGCCAGGGGCGGTTTGGGGCGGGGGGGACTAGGAATGGTGTTTATTGTAGTCCCGTCCCAGTTTTTTCTCATGTTTTGCTTAGCCTTAACTCCGTGGTATTCACATTCACATGACTAATTATCAAATGCCCTGGCCTATTGATTCTTGATTGCTTCACCTCTTCCTCAGCCACACACACCTACAGTCATTCCTTAGAACATGCAGGACTCCATTATAAAAATCACTGATTGAGGCTTTCCTAACATAACCTCGGTCCTTCTGGTTTGCTTCTTTAACTTTTCCTCACTATTCTACTTCATTGAGACTTCGAATTCATTGACTCTTATTTTTTATCTTCTCCTTTAGAATTCACTTTCTTCATATACAGTCATGTGCCAAATAACATGTTTCTGTCAATGACTGCATGTATCATGGTGGTCCCATAAGATTATAACGGAGCTGAAAAATTCGAATTGCCTAGTGGCACAGTAGCTTAGCCATCGTGAGGTAATAGCGCAACATATTACACAGATACCATTGTGTTACAGTTGCCTACAGTATTCAGTATGGTATCATGCTGTATGAATTTATAGCCTAGGAGAACAGAATTTTGCACCTTAAAATATGTTTCTGGCATAAGGATTATTTTAGGCTGGTTAATTTTAAGAAATAGCAGACATGGGAGCAGCTCTGAAAACCAGCTAGTAGTTGCCCTTTGTAAAAGACCTTTACATTTGTAGGAGAGATATCCTTTTGTAAGGACGTTGACCTTATCTCTAGAAACTCTTGTCAATATAGAAGACAAAGGTAAATCTGCGCAATAACCTTATCCTCATTTGCTATGCTTTTTCAGGTAATCTCCCATAACTGATTCCACCCCAACATCATCTTTTGTCTTCATCTGAAGCTAATATTTAAGGAGGTGGAGTCAGTCATTTTGACCAGTTATTCAGTTTTCCTGGGTTCTCCCATGTTATACAGGAGGTATACATGTTATTAAACTGTTTTTCTCCGGTCGATCTGCTTTTATTATAGGAATGTCTCAGCCGAGAACCCGGGAAAACAAAGGAAAAATACTTTTTCCTCTCCTACAGAGCAATAAGCTATACCACATAGCTTGCTCGTGTAGTAGGTTATACCACCTAGGTTTGTGTAAGTGCACTCTTTGATGTTCTCACAATGATGAACTTGCCTAAGGACGAATCTTTCAGAACAGAAACCCATCGTTAAGTGGCATATGACTGTAACCTGTGTCTATGTAAGAAACAGTCCAAACCTGTAGAGAGTTTTTATAAGAGTTTATTTGAACCGAACTGACAACATATGCCAGAAACAAGATCTCAAAAAGTTTTACAGTTTTTTTTTACATTTAAGGAAAAGGAAAGAAGATTACTTGGATGGAAGGAAATAACACAGCTATGGGATTGCAGGATAGTTAACAAGATTGTGTGCTCTCTTGAAGGTTAATGCCCCCTTCCAGGGGAATTACTTCTGTCATTTCGAAGGTGTGTTAACCTAGATGCACAAACCACACACAGGGCTGGCTTAAAACCCTTCACTAAAGAAGTTATAGTCCTGGGGTATGATTGCCCACCATGACCAGTTAGAAATTTAAGATCACATCACCCTGTGATGTTACTTTACATAGAACTTCTTTTCATGCACAGTTCCTCCTTTAGGTCATAAATCAATCCAAAGGATGCATTTGGTTGGACAGCATGGTCTCACAGTGCTATGAAGTCTTATTCTTAGGAAGTTTCAGTAATTGATGTTGTCTTGTTGAAATGGTGGACCACTGGGGATGGGGCAATACCATAACCATGGGATGTGAGTTGAGGGCAGGTAAATGGAAGGCAGTCGGGTCTTATGGCCTTAATTGCAAAGAAACACTTTGGACCATTTCTGTTCTATGTACTGTTATGATCCTACATTTGACTTCTGTCCCATTTATCTATATTTAGCATCTAGTATAACATTTACATAAGCCACGAAAAGAGTGTTATTTTATACATGCTCAGTAATCATAAACAATTGGACTATATAGAAGAAAGCAAAAAAACATATAACTTATTATATAATTAGCAGATAATTAAAAATAATCAAACAAAATGGATTCTGAGTGCAATATTAATCCTTGATCTTTGATGTCCTTAGATAGGAGTAGATATCCATTTACTGTTAGGCTCCTGATAAGTCCCTTCTGATGAGGATGGAGTGTCTTTTATTTGATGTCCTTTCCAGGAAACAAAATCTCCAGGTAGCAGTCAGTGATCTTTAAAGTCTTTGTCTCCTGGGAGCTCCCTGCAAAAGAAAGCAGTTACCAAGTTGGCATTTTCTTGAAGTGACTCTATTCAAACCTTGGCAATAGTATAAGATGTCTTTTTTCAATAATGTCAGTTCATAAGTTCCTTCATCTAAGTTCAGTTTGAATGCATAGTGAGGCATGAAGGAATGCAAAAAAACAAAAAATGGAGAGCCAGGGAGCAGGAAGAACCAAACTGCCTTCTTAGGTTTCCCATAGCCCTGACTGTTTAATTTATAACCATTATTCACCTGTACAATATACCCTAGAAGTTTTTATCATTTATTTTACAATGCTTCCCTTGCAGTTTCAAATCTTTTGAGGTGTTCCAGGATTCCTTCTGGCATACCACAAAGTTTTCCTACATATATTGAGATTTTACCCTTAAAACTTCAATTGTCTAATGAAAACTAAGAAGTAAGCAGTTAGCATTCTTTAGCTTGGGCATTTTATAACCTCTGATCTCATTTCCACCCAAATCCTCTTTTCTACCCTAATATAATCCTTATTCTGCTGCTCATTTATCACTAATATATCCACAGAAGGGCAGTATTGGGAATCGGTCTTATACCCAAGGATAAAAACATTGTTCATAGTTAGCAAAATCAATTATTAAGACAAACTTATTTTTGTAAAACCCAGGCAAAATAAAGACGTCTATTTTTACTTAAACCAGCAAACTTAAAATAGCTTTTATTTACTATGGATTAATCTTGTGTCACATGAACTTGAAAAGCATTTGAGTTAGTTTCTCTATTGCTGAGAATTTTATAATACCCAATCCTTACAAGCACATGCCTTTAAGTTAAATTTTAATAATACCATCCAGAGGTAGGAAATTATCTTATGTTTACAACACACATATATTGACATACACAGATGGACACAAATAGAACAGTTGAATCCAAATTTTGTTTTGGAGACATTTACAGTTTATGTCCTTGACAAGTCAAGTTCCAATGACCTTCCTCACTTTAAAATAAAGATAGCCATTTTTAATACCTCAAAGAATTGGGTTGACACTTCCTTGTAAATGCATTTACTTTGAAATTTTGGTTCCTGTTTTGATTGAATTAGTTTTAGTGGCCTTTTTCTGGTACCAGTTTTACCAACACCAATAATTCCTTTTGAGGCAACACCAATAATTCCATATTGTACCATGTATAAACAGCTTACCAGTGAGTCTTTTCCAATACACTAAGCTCATTGAGAGCGGGGACCACCTCAGGCTTGTTCACTGTTCTGCCACTTTTGCCTAATACTGTGCCAGTGCAGAACAAGCATTTGAAAAACTATTGTATATTTCTCTCCTTTCTTCCTCATCTCCAAGTTGCAACCATTTTACTCCTTTATCAGTTTTGAGTCAATCTAGTTATACTTCCATCTCTGCTAAAAACACTGTTCTCTAAGCTAACCTAACATTAGCTCTCAGCTCTGCAGTCCCCTTAGTGTAGATCACCATAGCCCTATATATCTTCACACCATTCAGTTATGATTTTATACTTAACATCTATCTTCCTCACTCTACTGTAAGCTCCATAAGGGCAGCGATGGTGCCCTTTTATGTCCTCACCATTGTATCTTGAGCCAGGAACAAAGACCATTCAGATAATGCTATAGCCTTGGCTGGCACCACCTAATGGTGACACAAGAGATTGGTCTGTAATCCAGCTTGTATCATTATTGAAATGCAGTAAACTTTAGAGCATTAGATAGCTGTTAAAAGTTAAAGGAACAAACAACATTCTTTTCCTAAAATTATCTAGTAATTAGTATTGCTATTTTTATCTTCAAAGAATGTTGTCTGAAAGATGCTATATTCTTGGTTGTGTTTTAAGATCTTTTTCGATTGATCTATATACACATATGTTTCCTTTTTAGCATATGATTCAGAAGAACAGAAGAATCTCACAGTCTGTCACAGTGGACAACTTTTTGAACAGAAGGGTCCAATTTATGTTGCATGTCAGTTTCCTATTGACTTACTTCAAGCTTGCAGTGGTGTGAATGATCCTGAGTTTGGCTACTCTAAAGGACACCCTTGTATTCTTGTGAAAATGAACAGAGTATGTACATATCTGTGGCTACTGCTGCTTTTTTCTAATACTCTATTAAGAAGCTGGCAACTGTTTATTAAATGTTCTCTCATTTGGGCGTTGTTTGTGTAAAAGGCTAACAGTGATATACGTGGACCTTTGGAAAAATTAATAAAGAAAAACAAGATAGTTCAAGAATTGATCATGGTTTAGGAACTAAAACAACTTTTGCTTTTCCCTTTGGGGGATAGTTACATGCATTTAAGCATTGATTAATTCTTCAAGAGGCAGGTGTTCTGATCACCATGCCCGAAGCATAGTTTTTTTTTTATTAATGTGCAGTGCTCGTCTTTGAATCCTGTGTTATAAAAGCAATTTCAAATCCCATGGGAAGTATATGAAGTTTAGGCTTATTTAACTTTTTCTGAATATCAGTAGGAAAGCATATTTTATAGCATACATATATATAACTAAATAGTAGAAATACTAATAAAGTTGCATTATAATGTGCTCAGTGGGGTGTTGCAGTTACATAGCCCAAGTTAGCAGCATTTTGCTATGTCGTGCCACAGAGGTGCCTGCATTATATAGCCACTAGCAAATTAAGCTAATTTACTCTCTCTGTGTAAGTGATAATGACTTAGGGTCATTGTGTAAAGAAAGCTGCTTTTCTTCTATGATCCCTAACCCCTGTACCTTGCTGCTATATAAATGTTGGACTGCAGAGTTGTATTCTTATACAATTATCCTGTTGAGGCCTCCAAGGTCTCCTTGAAAAGTGAGGTTTTTCCTGGTCATTTACTCAGATCAGAGGCAATTTCTTAAACAGGTGTAGACCTCTCAGGATCATAAGTTCATATATCATTAAAGTTACCATCCAATAAGCAAATTGCTACCATCCCTAATAAAAGTAAAACTTGAGTCTTCTAAAGTTGGCACTGGTAAATAAAGGAGTTTCCCTGTAGGGAGAGCCAGCTAGATCCTAAGGTGCCCAGATTGACATCCCTTCAGCCTCTCCTTCCTTCCCCTCCCCAAGTGGACAATGACAGTTTCCTGATTTTCCCACAGCATTCTAGAGATCATTCTGAAACATTGCCTGACACATAATAGGTACTCAATAAATGATTGAGGGATATTTCAGCAAGACTTTGTTAAGAATTAAGGTTAACAAAGTATGCCAAAAGTAATGTGAAACTAGAAGATATAGCTCATTAAGATGAATTAAATTCATTTACTTTTAACAGGGATGCCTTTTGTAATCCCAAACTCCTAGAAGTGTCTTCAGGACAACTAGATTGTTAGAAAACCTATTCTGTATTCCCATATAAAGCAAACAAGTTTCAGTTCCTTATCCCACGGGACCAACCTTCTGAGTTTATTTTCTTTCTCATTATGTCCTACTTGAATGATGAGGGTCTGGGATGATATTTGTTGATAGGAACATGGCTTTGCAGGGCATGACAGGAAGACAATATCAGGTGCAAACAGGGATCCATAATGAGATGTGCATACCTAGTGTAGCAGAAGATTTAATCCCAGTATAGTTTGTTCCAAAGTCATTATCTGGGCAAGGATAGTGTTGCTGTTGTTATCTCAACTACAAACGTGAAAGTAGCTTCATTTCCTGAAATTGAATGGTGCTGCAGGATTCTCCCCAATGTATTATGCATTTTGTGGAATGGACAGCTGTGAGTGGAATATGGTCAGGCTCTGTGGAAGCATTATGGAAACATTGACCTAATATATTTTCATAAAGAATAGTTATTATCATCCTCTGCAGTTCCAGTTATTTGTATTACTTGTTCATATCAATAATGAAATTTCAAGGTTTCTTTTACTTGTTTCTCATTTTAAGGAGTAGCAGTGCCATACTATGTTTTGGTCTGTTCTTTGGCAACTGATTTATTTTCTAAATTGCCCCAGAACAGTATAATAAGATAGTTCATTGCTAAGATTATTATAGCGAAAAGTCCATTCTAATCCTCTAAAATAAAATTAATTAAGAGGCACAGGCAATGGGGGTTTAATGCACAGTTAGTGTTTATCTCAACTCTTGCACCCCTTGTCCCCAGCAAAAAAGTTCTGTTGCATACTTTTGTGATGTTTCAATTAATTAATATTTCTTTACCTTAGATAATTGGATTAAGGCCTCTAGGTGAACCAAGGATACAGTGCACTGGTGCTGTAAAGGTTAGTATTCAAAAAATAATCCAACTTCTGTTAAAGCTTTAGTGTATCTTAATACTTTAAGTCTAATGAGTTTCAGTCATTATTTTCCCCGTTAAATTTTTTTAAGTTCCTTGGGGGTGGCCCTTCTCTGTTTGCTCATGATAATTCAAAAAGACTTGTTTTCTATGTGCATTTGATTTCATATACATTGCCTTTATAGTTCCATATACCATATTTCATTGATTCTAAAGTTCACTTTTTTTCTAGCATAGTAACACTGAAATCGGGGTTGGCCTTAAAATTAATAGTGTCTTAATAGTGTAGCATAAGATTTTTTTTCTTAATAGTACATAAGTTGGTATATATCAGTAGCATCTGAGATTTAATGAAATGTGATACATATTCCTTAAGGTAGAGGCATGGTTTTTCTCTCCTATCCCTACTTTATTTTTTTTGAGAGTGCTGTACAGTTTTCATCTCATAACTTCTTTTGTTTTCTCTCCATGCTGCAAGTGCAACTAAGACAAATATGTAAATGATGGGTAAGAGTTCTGAGGAGAAACTTTTAAGTTCTAAATTTAATTTTATCCTTGTGTAAAATAATTAACATTCCAACTCCAAGTGTGTGTCAGAAGTATTTTACTTGAAATGTTAAATCGAAGTCACTTCTAAAGTTGTTTGTGAAAAAAAATTGTAATTCCTTTTAACCGTGAATGGATTTCTTATTTGGGCAGAAACTTCTTACTCAGTGATTTTCAAATTCGATCAAACATCAGAATCACTTGGAGGGCTTGGTGTGGGTCCCATTCCTGTAGTTTCTGACTCTGTTGGTCTGGGGTGAGGCCCAAAATTTGCATTTCTTTTTTTTTCTTTCTTTCTTTTTTTTTTAATTGCTAGAGTACTGTTAATTTATTTATTTGTCCATTCCAATACTTTATCCAGCTAGCTTCTGGGTAGTAAAGCGTGTGATAGGACCAGCAGATTATATAGTCATAGTCCCACTCCCCAACTCTCTGTGCCATAGAGTCCTCTGGTCAGAGATGCTATGTTACGTGGGATTCCATGTCTGTGGATGAGGTGATATTTTTTTTTTTTGTATTACAATTCAGTAATACATCATATATATATATATATTGCATTGTGTTTGTTTGCCACCCACAGTTAAATTTCCTTTTGTTGCCAAATATTTGACCCCTTTTACTCCTATGTACATCCTGCCTCCCCTACTTCCTGCTGGTAACCACTAATCTACTGCCCGTGTTCATGAGTCTGTTTGTCATGTTTGTTTGTTGCTTTCAGTTTTATATCCCTTATATGAGTGAAATCATATGGTTCTCAGCTGTTTCTGTCTGACTTATTTTACTTAGCATGATCATCTCAAGATCCATCTACGTTGTCGCAAATGTCAGTATTTCATCTTTTCTTATGGCTGAGTAATATTTCATTGTATATATGTGCCACATCTTCTTTATCCAGTCATCTATCGAAGGATTCTTTGGTTGTCTCTATGTCTTGGCCACCGTAAATAATGCTGCTATGAACATTGGGATGCATATATCTTTGCAGATAAATGTTTTCAAGTTTTTTTTGGTAAATACCCAGGAGAGGGATTGCTGGGTCATATGGTAATTCTATTCTTAGTTTTTAGAGGAACCTCCATACTGTTTTCCATAGTGACTGTACCAATTTACATTCTCACCAGCACTGTATGAGGGTTCCTTTTCCCCCACAACCTCTCCAACACTTTTATTACTTGTCCTGTTGATGTCAGCCATTCTAACAGGTGTGAGATGGTGTATCATTGTGGTTTTGATTTGCATTTCTCTAATAGCTATTGAAGTTGAGCATCTTTTCATATGTCTGTTGGCCATTTGTGTGTCAAAAATTCGATTTTCTAACTAAAGTTTCCAGGTGTTGGTGATGTCGCTGGTCTGAGGCCCACACTCTGAAAATTCCTGCTTCAGAGTATCCTTACTAGTTTCTTTTGATTATGTACTCACTAACAAGTTTAATAAAAGGTTGGAAAGTTTGTAGTTTCTTATCTGGGTTAAAGTATACATGTGTGACCTAGACAATTCATCTCCTTATGCCATATTCAGCACAGCAGGAAATATGGATAGAAATCTCGAATCTCACTTAAAACCAGATGCTACATCGAAGCCAGCTTTTCTTGATAAATCCTACAAATCTAGTGAGCATATACTGTCACCTCTTAATACAAAAGAAAACATTAAGGCTATAGAATACATTTAGAAGCTGTGTTGTATAACTCTTTATGATCCTCCTTGCTTGCAAGTCTTCCCAATAGAAAGTTGCTGAGTCTACAGCCATGCCACCCTGAACAAGCCCAATCCTGTCTGATCTCGGAAGCTAAGCAGGGTCGGGCCTGGTTAGTACTTGGATGGGAGACAACCTAGGAAGACCAGATGCTGTAGGCATTAAAAATAATAATAATATTTTTTAAAAAGTCAGTGGTAATCTTTAAAAAAAAAGAAAGTTGCTGAGGCTTCTAGAATAGCTGGGAGGAGGGGAACATTAATGAAAAATCCTGGTCTTAATAACAAAGGAATAATCAAGTAGAGTCTATAAATTTTAGAGGTGTGGCTCTATAGAACAGGTGGAAACATTTACTGCATAAACACAGGTAACAGAACATGCTCTTAGCGGTGGCATCTTTTATGTTAAAGGATGGTTCCTTCAAAAGACATAATATTTGTCATTAGTTTTCTCAATATTTTCTTACAAAAGTGAATCATGTTCGTTTGAGAAAATTTGGAAAAATGCAGAAGAAAAAATTGGTAAATGCTACCAATTTGGTGTGTATTCTTTAAGTAGTTTACAGGTAATGACTGTATAAAAGAAACAAAATATGTTAACTTTAAAACTATTTTGTTTTCAGTAGGTAGAACTTAATGACTATTAATAGACCCTTAGATTTAGTTGCTCAGAGTTTCCAAAATGGTGCCACTTATTTATTAGAAAATCATGACATGCATGCTTTACCCTAAAGTATCTCATCATTATTCAGATATGCATTTCAATGTTTCACAATTTCTAAATGTTTATTTTCAAATATGGTATAAGATACAACTTTAAGTAAAAGCCTGCCAACATTATGATTTAGGTACAAACCAAAAGAATGGGAATCTTGAGCATGCGACCTTACCTCTGAGCCTCAGTTCCCTCCACAATTGATCCTGCCTACTCAAGGATTGTTAGCCCTAAATGAAGTAAATATCAGTTAAGTGTGCTATTTGACTAAAAATACACACTGAAATGTTCATTAAACTATCATCCAAAGAAAAACTCTTTTTTTTACATTTTGGGGAACATCTGTGTTTCTTCGAATTAATAAGCTCATATATTAAGGAAAAATAGGTTATCCAAAAGCAATTAATGCAGAAAAGCACTCATATCAAAGTGATTGTTTTTTTCTCTGATACAAAATGCTATTTTAGACTTAAAGATTTATTTATTTGTTTATTTATTTATTATTCTTAATTAAGGAGTACAAATGTTAGGGTAGTATTTGAATAGTGATTGAAAAATTGATTCTACAGTTTCTCTTAGCCTTGTTATCTCTTGCTCTTTCCACATTATCTTTGATCTGGACTGTTAGAATGTGCCCTTTTTGTGGGGCGTCATCACAATGCTTTGTGCTGTCTTGTCTTCCCTGTGTCACTTGTCTGTGTATTTCTTTCTCATCCATGTACATGTGCTACTTCATGACAGTTAAAGGATTTAAGCAAAGGGTAGGACTTCTCCTTAGAAGAGATTCTTAGTTTTGCTATAGCGTTTCATGTGTGCTTTCAAAAATAGAAATTAGTCTATTCTAATCTAGAATTCAAGCATTTAGTGGTTTTATTTTAATTAGTGCTTAGTAAACTTGTCACTGATTTTAATCATTGTTGTCTATTTGTTACTTAGTATGTGTTAAAATTATAGGAATTATAATTAGGTCTTTTCAGAATGTTACATGAGAATTTTTATAAGTTGCTTATTAAGAATAATAGAGACAAATAATAAATAGCATGAATGCATTTGGTAGTTGAAAGGCAAATAAGATTTTATGGACAGTGCATGAGTAGATCTGGCTGTAAGTTAGAAGGGTCTCTAATGGGAAGCATATGATATATACCAGGAAATGTAAGAAGAATCAGGATAGTTTATGTCAAAGGGTTTAAATCAAGACGAGCAAGTCTCTTCTCAGAAATACATTTGTAATTAATGCCGTTGAAGCAGCATTGTAGTCTCCCCATACTGTTTGTAAATGATACTGCTTTAATATAAATACATTTTTAAATTTGCTTTTTGACCTAAAAAAGGTTTCTTTTGCTTTCAACTTTAGGGTGGAAATATAACTCTATCAACTTATCCTCCCAATGGAAGTATAGACTTAAAATATTTTCCATATTATGGGAAAAAACTGCATGTAAGTATTTAGAAGTTCTTAAGTGATTGTGATTCTTGGGAGTCACAGATGTGTCTTTAAGTTTATATATAAATATCATTTTATAAAATTTATGTCATACTGTATGTATACTTATAAAACTTTATTTCGAAATGCTTTATAACTTACAAGTGGCTAGAATAGTAGAAAATTTCTCTAGATCCTTTACCCAGATTTCCTAAATGTTAATATTTTACCTCATTTGTCTTACTAAGCTTCATTTATATATAATTTTTTCCTTTTGGGTTTGTCTGCTGTTTTTCATGTTTAAATTTAGGGTGTACATTTTTGGCAAGTGTGCCTCAGAGGAAATGTTATGTCCTAGAATAGCATATCAGGAGGGATGTTATTTTGATTAGTTCCGTTAGTGGTGATGATAACCTTGAACACGTAGTTAAGGTGCTGTGAGCTAGGTTTCTCCACTGTAAATTTATTATGTTTTCCTTTGTAATCAATAAATTTAAAATATTTGAGAATATTTTCTAAATTCTGTTTCTCCCATAGCCTTAGAATTTGTTAATTCTTGCCTGAATCAGTTAATAATAGGATTGTTCCCAAACATTTTTCTAATTTCATCTCCACCCTTTATTTATATCCGTATATGTCCATGGATTCTTATTTTATTCAGGGATTATAATCTGTTATCATTTATTTTGGTGCTGAACTTGTCCCAGATTTGGCTGGTGGGAGAGGAGACATCCATGCTGGCTCCTCTGTCCTTTTGACATACTTCCATGATTCTTTGAGCATTTTATTACTTTCTGGCACCACAAGATATTCCAGGTTCATCTCGTACTTTCCCTCTCCCAGCCCTGGAATCAGCCCCCAGTTCCTTTTAGTGAAGAATTATATTTAGAAACCACAATGATAGTAAAGCAACTGAGTATATTTGTACCAAAGTACATAGCAATCATAAGTAGGATAGACCTAAATAATAATCAGTAAGGTACATCTTATGCATGTTTATCAAAAATAATATATAGATAATAAAATACATAGCCTTCTCAAGCACACCTTGAGCAGTCACAAAAATTTATCATAAAAATACACCCTAAAGTTCCATAAAGTAGAAATATATTAGAAATGATAATTTCTGATCACAGTGCAATAACTAGAAATTATTAGCTTTCTTCCATAGGAAACCTTCTATCAAACAACTCTTGGGTGAAAGGGGAAATTCAAACCAAGATTATAGAATATCTAAAAAATAATGAAACAACATAATTACAACCCATGGGATACATTTAAAGCAATACTCAGAGGAAAATTCATAGCCATAAACCATAGCCATTTTATCAATAAAAATTAAGTGAAAATAAATGAACATCTAGTTTTAAGAAAAAAGGTAGAGAATAGAAAATAATAAATCTAATAGGTTAAGATGTTTTCAGTTTTAAATTTTTACAGAATAAACCAACTCTCGATAAAATGTAAATGAAGTTATTACAGAATTTGAATTAATGTGTTTTCCTTTATTTGCCAGGTGAGGTATCTACAGCCATTAGTTGCTGTCCAGATCGGCATTGGTGCTAGTCCCACAAAAGAAATAACAGTTGAGTGCAAGATTGAAGGGTCACCCAACCTAAAAAACCATGATGATCGTGACAAGTTTTTAGGACGAGTTGTGTTTAAAATCACAATGCATGCATAGTAGGAGTTAGGATATCCAGGATATCTCCACAGAGTAAATGTTGTGTTGTCTGTCTTCATTTTGTATCAGCTGGACCTGACATTCTAGAATTATGAGACCACCTTAGAGAAAGGTGGGGTGGTACATGACACTAGGGTAACATCATAATGTGCTTCCAGATCACAGTGTTCAATGTCCTCTGAAGTAACTGCCTGTTGCCTCTGCTGCCTTTTGGAACCATTGTACAGTCGCCAGACAGGGACCATGAACACCTGATTCTGAACATGTAGAATGGGGGTCTTGTCCTTTTTTTATGTGGTTTAATTGCCAAGTGTCTAAGGCTTAATGTGCTGTGCTGTGTAAATATTTTATAGATTTAACACTGGTTAACTGTCATATTTTGATGCCAGCAAAGTTTTAGGGATGAAATGGTACCTGACCAACGAAATGACTTTATAGCTGAAAAAAATGTGGTATGTGGAGGTTCTGTATGTGAGGAGGAAAAAAGAAAATAAACATGGATTTGAAAGGTCGTCTTGGATTTTTTGTAAAGTTATTCTTTTACATGCTGAATTAGTCTCTATGGATCTTTTTGATTAACAATGCAAACTTTGCTGTAAGACATGTAAAAAAAAAAAAGTGATGGGATTATTTTTAGTGCTGGAAGTAAATCTCTTGCAAAAAGTATTTTAGACCATAGATGAAACAGTATTTTTAGGTTACCCAGTTTGAATATGCACCTAATTTTTTCAATGAAATTAAATTCCTAAGATTTAAATTGTATAATAGTTTGCACAATATCTTGTTACTGCTTTATTTAGCAGACTGTGGACTCTAATAAAAAATGTAAATTGTGAAATATAAAACATGGAACTTATTCAAAGCTTCCAACCAAACAGTTTTTTTTAGGTTTTCTTTGTGTTGGTGCAAGTCAGGAGGCGTGGGATTCAACCCAGCTGGCTCAGGAATGACTGTCTGGAGAAAACATGAGTGCTCTGGGTGGCCTTGGCTGGCAGATGGGCCTCGATGCTTTGATGCTTTGGTCATGGGCACTCAGCCCCGTTGGGAGCTCTGCTTGTTGCTATGTCACTAAGATCTCAGTGATAACAGATTTTCATTTTAGAATGCTTCTTTGCAACTGAAGAAAATGATTCTTGGAGATCACCAACAACCTCCTAAGTGATGCCTATGCTGCTTTTTCATAGACCACGCTTTGAATTACAAGTGATCAAAGGGCTAAGCGCAAGCAGCTTTACATTCCCAGGGACTGAGTCTAGCACTAGTTTGATTAGTGGATGAAGAAGAGTCAACTGTCAGTGACTAGCTGGTATGCTATATTCCTAGCTCAAGGAAAATTGTGGGTTAGTTTCCTTAGAACTCCAAGCTGCGCTGTACTTGGAACTTTTTTATACATAAATTCCATTTCATTTTCATCACCTCGATTGTAGTTGACAAGTTATAGTTCAGTCCTACAGACAGATTTTCAACCTCTTTGTTACAGTGTTTCTTAGTGGGGTTTTCTGTAGAAGATATTCTCCCAATCTAGAAGGTAAAAATGAGTTTGGTAACTTAAAGCTCTGTTGTCCTTTCTCACTGGTAGATTTTCTCCATCCATGTGGTGGTGAGGTAAGAAAGGCTGGGTTTCCCTCTTCTCAAAGTCCAATATAATAGGACCACCATTCCGCCCGTGAGGACTTCCCAGATTCTGTTATACAGAGTCTGCTGGAAGAGCAAAGCCCATGGAATCTGTGCTTATTCATTTGGGAGGCAGAGTGGGGAGGCGGAGTTGACTTTAAATCCTGATTTGCATTTGATTGCTTAGAAATCTTAGGCAGATCACTTATCTTCTGAGCTGTAGTTCTCTCACTTGAGTGTAAGGCCACCCTTCAGGGCTGCAAGGATTAAATGAGAAAATACACATTAGCAACATGGAGTAGACATTTATGTTAATTTCCAAGGGCTTGCCCTTTTTCAGCAGTGCTTCCCTTCCTGCTAACTTGAAAACGGCATGAATAACCACAGTTTTGTTGCTGTCTTGGAGCTATTATCACTCGTTGAGAGGAGAGTGCTGAAAGGAGTTGAAAGTCTGCTGTCTGCCTACAGCCTTGTGCCACTTTTATATGGAAGGAGGAGTCACAAATATGTGAATTTGAAACCATCCCCGTGGAAATTATTTCACTTGGCTTTCGCTTTAGTAAAGTTGTCAAGTTTGAGTTTAAAGAAAACTGAACATTTCACTAAATTGGCTTAGCAATTTAGAGTTTTCCAGATCCACCAGTGCCCACACTGGAGGGCTTGTGTTTTGAGCAGCGTATCCTCCTGTGCTCCTCACAGATTAGGCCAGTATGGGCCAGAGCTTCAGGAAGGGAGAATCCATTCACCTGAAGTCTTCGTTCATGTTCTCGGTTACAAAGCTAGATCAGGCATGACTGGCAAAGCAGTGTCTGCTTTTTGAACAAACTTACTTTCTCACATCCCAGTGAGTATTGTCCTTCAAATAAGCCCCTTTAGACCAATTATGCTACCATGTTGCATCCTTCAGAACTTTTTAGGAGTGATTTCGGGGTGTGCTTTCAGGAGCCTGACAAAGACAGTTGTCAGAGTAGCAGGACATGTCCATTGAGGATGGACTTTTTAGAAACAATTCGCTCGATGAGCAGGACTGATAAGGGCTAGTATTTAAGCATGAAAAACAAAACATGACAAAGAATGTCTCCTAAAATCAGTCTTTTTAGTCGTTTGTGTGTCCTCGACACCAAATAACTAAAGGGCCTTCATGAGGACAAACTGGATTTGACTGGTGACCAACAAGCTAGTGATAGGCTGTCATTAGTTCTGTATTTGTTTGAAGACATGACCACTCTTATTCAGATATTAGTCTCTGAAACTGGAAGAGTGTGAAGTCCTGCTGGTGGCAAGAGACCCCAGGAAAACCAGGAGGCTGGGCTCCTAGCTCCAGTGAACCTGGGGTGAGGCCACCTCCTCCTGACCCTCATGCTTCTAAGTGCATCTGTCCTGCTCAGGTCTCTAGTGCAGGAGCCGAGGGAGAGTGAGGGGTGACATGAAATGGCAGACATGGGATTCTACATTTTTTGTCATTAGGCTTGTTCCTTGTGATCTCTCTGGGTGGCTGAGGACAGCTGGGGATGGTGTGTGGTAAGGGATGATCTTTGCAGAATTATGTGAACACACTCAAGCTCTCCTGAGGTGTGGGAGGGAATTGAGGTGTGTTGAGAGACATTATGTGGCAGAGTAAAGGGCAGACAGTGGCTAATGAGTGAAACTAAGGGTCGAGGAGGAAGGATGTAGCAGGTAGAGAAACTGACAGATGTACTGTAAAAAATCAGTAAAAATTCAGTGAGCACTTGGGAGTACCCTTCTGAGATGACGAATCCCTATTTGGACCTAGTGCCTCTGGTGTCATGCCTGTGGTTGTGCAACATCAGGGCAAGAGGTACTTTGAAGATAAATGTACTAATCAGCTGACTTTAAAATAGAGATTATCCTGCATTATCCAGAGGGTCTGATATAATCATGGGAGCCTAAAGCAGAAGTCAGATCTGAAGCATGAGGACTGGATACACTGTTGCTCTCTTGAAGAGAAAACTGGAGAAGGAAATGAATTCTGGAAGCCGGATTTGCCCCAGAGGCTCCAGAGGAGAGCTCAGCAGAGCCACACTGGGCCCCGACTGTTGACCACAGAAATGGGAGATAAATGACTATCATCTAAAGCCAGTGAATTTGTGGTCATTTGTTATGGCAGCAAATAGAAAGCTAATATGGCCATTTTCTCAATGAAGATTATATCCTAAAACCCAGTACTTCTCGAACCTTGTGAGCATGTGATTCCTTAAGGGATCCTGTTTCAAATGCATCTGCTGATTCAGCAACGTCTGGGATGGGGCCCGAGATTCTGCATTCTTAAGCTCCCAGGTGCTGCTGCCACTGCTGCTCTGAAGACCCACCTTTGAGCACAAGGCTTCGTGTGACCATCTTGGTCAGTGCAGTGCCAGGTATTCAGAGCCAGGGCAAAGGAGAGAGGAAATGGGAATTGAAAGAAGAGCAGCCTAGGATCGATGCTACTCAGCTGTGAAATAATATTCACAAAGTTTACGAAGGAGAGGTGCTTTGTGTTGGTGGGCCCCCGGCCTGCAGCTAGACTGGGCCACCTGTGCAGTGAACAGGGCCTGGTTATGGATGGGGTATTTTGTGGTTTTAGCTTTTTTCTGTGTCCCTGTGGGAGGACAGTGGCCTGTAGCAATGGGTCTAGCTTCCTGAGGATGGCTTGGTGCAGGCCTGCCCATCACAAGGTCCTCACCAGCACCCCTTTCCCTCAACCGAATAAAAGGTAAGCTTTTGGAGGCCACCAGCTTGAAAATGAAGGGAATGCACTTCATCAAAGAAGAAAACTGCAAAGTCGCTATCAGTCCTTAGAAGGAATGGATGCATTTGTTGTTTTTAATGTTTATTGAGTAACCAGTGAGTGCCAGGCACTATACAAGGAGCTTGGGATTCACTGGAGGACAAAACAAGATCCCTGCCTCAGGGATGGTACGACCTACAGTGACAACTACAGCAAGGCTCAAACTGCTTCTGCTAGGCTGTCTGAGTGGTAAGTTCCTCTCTGCTCTTACAGGAGGGTCATGGCCTCTGGAAGCTGAGTGCTGAGGCCAGAGTAGGTCTGGTGTGCTTGTCCATAAGCTGTGCTCACCTTCAGTCCCCAGATGGGCTGGGCTGGCCCACAGCCAGCCATCAGCGGGTCTGTGGAGCCTCTTTCTGAGGTGACAGGTTGGAACTAATCGAATTCCTTTAAGTCCGGAGCCACCCAGAGGGATGGCAGTAACCACGCCTACACACACTTGCTCTTACTTTACAAATACTCTAAGACAAAGAATTTTAGAAGATCCGTCAGATCCTTAACAAATAACTGCAATGGATGAGGTTAGCCTGGGCAACAAGCAGAGTTGGAAAAGATACCGTGATGTTTGTAGGTATGTTGCAAAGATATTAGGGTTTAAAAATAGTGCGAGTGCTCCTCAAAAACCTCACGTATGGTAGGTACTTTGACCATCATATCGACTCCGCAGAGAAGTGGCTGTTATAAAGAGGGTCTGTTCTGGAATCCATCCCAGTGAGTTTGCTAATGAGGCATCCAGTGTGAGGTGGTTCCAAAATATTCAGCCACATTCGGGGAGCCCCAGACCTCTGTGGCCACTTTATTAGAGGAACCCCGACTAGGAGTTTCCTCCTGTGTTAAGAAACTGCAGATGCAAACAGCAGCCCCTGGCCCACGTTCTCCTGACAGTCTGGGTTTTCTTGAATGTCTTTTCCATGATGATCCTTCTGATTAGGGGTGTGGGACAATGCAGGAGATGGGCACAGTCTGTTCTCTCAACTGCCACACAGTACGGACGCCCAATCCGGTCTTCCAGATGGCCTGTTGCCCTTTTAACTTCTCTCCGGGTTCCATGTCGCCATCTTTTGTGTGACTCACAAATACAGGGCCTCTGAAATGAGTGGTTCTTGCCCAAGT